TATTCATTGCTGATACCTAATGATCAGGAAATATTTATTTATTTAAAATAAAAAATAACAAGGTCATAATTGTACATCGTAAATCCACCTTCCTTGTTCATGCATTGTATAAGCACTTGCAGTATCAACACTTAAGAAGGAGAGAGGCTGTCTCTTGTATTTTTAATGTAACAGGTACCACACTGTGAGCACTCAATAAATATTCATTGATGGTGATGCTAGCCTCATTTCAGCCTCATAGCACCACAGAACCAACAGGAGATAGACAGCATGTTGGGATTTGGTTTAACTAGGTCTGTGATTTCATATGGGCTTCCTGTAGGGTTAAAGATAAAAAAAGGTTTCAGGGAAGAAAGTGAATAAAAACAGATTCTTCCCTGTTTCCATATCCTTTGAGATAGTGACAAAGAAGGGACTAGTAGCAAATGAAGTCTTCATTTTTTAAAGACTGGCCTCAAAACCAATGATTTCTTTCTTTTCATGAGCAGACTTTCTTTAAAGCAGAGTCAAACATTCACTTAAGGAATCTGTTAATGTTAGGATTTGTAGAATGTTATTCTGGCACTGTTTAAAAGAAAAGAATCAGTGAAAGGTTGAAGGGAGGAAGGAAGCAGAAAGAGCAAAATAGTGAAAGAATGAAGAAAAAGAAAGGAAGAACTCTAAGCTTAAGGGGAAAACCCATTATACCAATTACTAATACATTTAATACATTTTTAATCATTCTTAAACGTTCGGCTTCTAGAACTTTCATCTGAAATGAGGATTATTTTATTATTATTACTATTTCCTTTCAAATCCTTTTTCTTTCTTTTTTTTGAGAAAAATTAGTATTGTCCAAAATCAGAAATCATCAATTTTATAATCATATCTTTTAAAATAATGTTAGTTCAATGTCTACTTAATTCTCTTTTCAGATTGCTTTCTCTATTGCAGTTCTCTATTTAACTCCTGTATATGGACTATATTTGATCTTTCCTAATTGAACATTTGAAGAAAATTAGAAAATATATTCTGTGGGAGGAGAAAGTGGTTATACAGTATAATATTGCTTTTTATTATTTTGCATGCCTCATATTTCAACTAACCTTGACTCATTTTTACAGTTCAGATGTCATCAGCTAACTACCTTAAGGTAGTGACTCAACATTCCAGTATATATATATGTGTGTATATATATATATATGTATATATATACACATACACACACACGTGTGTATATATACATACATATATACACATATGTATATATGCATATGTATATGTGTATATGTATATGTATATGTGTATATGTATATATATGTGTATGTATATATATGTGTATATATCTATGTATATTTATATATGTATAGATATATATATAACTCATCACCCAAGGACCTAATCTACTTTCCAATGATTGTTAGTGAGTTGTTTGTTTTTTTCCTCAATTCAAGTCATCAAACTGAAATCAGCCTCTGTTACTTCCCTTCAGTGTCACTTATTTCTAATTCTAAGTCTAAGTACTTTTCCATATAAGAACCCTTCTGGTATTTAAAGACAACTTGACAGCTGCTCACCCTGAGTCCTCTCTTTTTCAAATGGAACACCCCCAGCTCCTTTAGCAGATCCTAATATGGAAGGATTTCGAGACATTGTCCTGTTAACAATCCTCTGGACACATTTTTCCAACTCACCCCACCAATGCACGTCAGCACCTTCTCTGTAAGTTATAGTCTTAACTTCCTAGAGCACTGAGAGTTTAAGCCAAGGGACCTGTACAGGCTCACACAGTCAAGATGTGTCAAGTCTTCAACTTGAGTGGTCCTGGCTTCAAGTCTAGCTTTCTATCCATCACACTACCCTACCTTTCACTGATTTATAAACATCCTTCCTAAATGTGATACCTAGAATTAAACATGTGCTCTGGATGTTCTCTAACCAGTGATGAGTACAGTGGGACTGTCACACCCCATTCTATTTTTTGGGGGGACACAGCTTTTCTTTTAATGCTGTCTGTATGAATACTCTCACTCTGTTCACTGCCATATTGCATGGTTTATTCCTTGAATTTACAATCCACTAAAATTAGACCCATCACTTTTCTAGATTAACTTATGTGGCTACCCCCTACACCCTAATCTTGTTATTTGTGAAGTTAATATTTGTTTTTTAAACTCAGCTGTAAAATTTTATGCTCAACCCATTTAATATCCTTTCATTGGAGTTGGCCTTGTGTTCTAGTCTGTCGGTATCTTTTTTTTGCATCAGAAATGTCATGTATTTTATTAGTGTCCCCTTACATAATTGTTTTATTCACCAAATCCAGTTTAGCAAACATTTTTTAATGTATATCCAAGTCATTATCCTGGGAACCCAGGATGCAAAGGCACAAAACAGCCCCTGACCTAGGGAACTTACAAAGGGAAGTACAGGATGTAGCAAATGGCAAATACAGATTAGCAAATGACAAATAATTTTAGGGGAAAACTAAAGAATTGGTGGAGAAGGAAGAATGAGAAAAGGCCTTCTCTGAGAAGTGGCAACAGAACTCAGCCTTCAAGGAAGTTAAGGGTCCTAATTAAATAGCTGGGCAGGGGAAATGCATTCCAAGAAGGGAGGACCAGCTCAGCAAAGGCATATAAATGAGATGAAATGTTATGTGCTAAGGAAGAGCAAGTAAACTTTCAAAACTTAGTAGTAATGCTTTATAGGCAGATGGTAGATTTAGCAAGCATTTGCTTACTAAGTTTAACTAAGATATCTTCCTTTTCACATTCTATGTCTTTGACCACTAAAACCTTGACTGTCACAACCTTCCTCAGTTTCTTTTTTCTTTTGATTGGAAGCGTGGAGGGTAGAGCATCCTCCTACTGCTTCCTTTATAGACAGTCAAAATTGGACTTTGCAGCTTACTCCACTTTGCATCTGCTGCCCTGCCTGGCTTCAACTCCAAGGAACACAATCTCCCCCACCCATTTTGTTTCTCCTTTTGTGTGTTAGATTGTATGCTTCTTGAAGGCAAGGACTATTTTTCTTTTTATTAATTTTACCCCCATTTCTTAGCATAGTGTCTGCCATATAGTAAGTGCTTAATAAACATTTATTGGATTGGATTGAACTAGAGCAGTTGGTTGGTACAGTGGGTGAAGTGCTGGGCCTGGATTCAGGAAGACCTCTGTTCAAGTGTGACCTTAGGCAAATCATGTAACTGCTTTCTGATTCAGTTTCCTCATCTGTAAAACAAGAATAATAATAGCACCTACCTCCAAGGGTTAATGTGAGGTTCAAGTTATTTGTAAAGTATTTAAAGCACTGGGGTAGCTAGGTGGCACAATGGAAGTGTGCCAGGGCTAGACTCATCTTCCTGAGTTCCAATCTGCCCTCAAGATATTTACTAGCTGTATGACCCTGGGCAAGTCACTTAACTCTGCTTCAGTTCTCATCTGAAAATTGAACTGGAAAAGGAAATGGCAAACTGCTTCAGCATCTTTGCCTCAAAACCCTGAATGGGATCATGAAGAGTCAGGCAGGATTACAAAATTACTGACAACAACAACTAACACAATGCATGGAATATAGTAGTTACTTAATAATTTTGTTAATAATTTATTTATTTTTAGTTTTCAACATTCACTTCCATAAGATTTTGAGTTTTAAATTTAAATTTTTTTCCCCTCCCTCTCCTACCCCCTTCCCAAGATGGAGAGCAAATGTTATGCTTCCATCTGCATTCACTCTTCAAAGTTCTTTCTCTGAATATGGATAGCATTTTCCATCATGAGTCTTTTGGAGTTGTCTTAGAGCCTTGCATTGCTGAGAAGGGTTAAGTCTATCAAAGTCAGTCTTCGTACAGTGTGTCTGTTACTGAGTACAACGTTCTCCTGGTTCTGCTCACTTCAGTCAGCATCAGTTCATATAAGTCTTTCCAGGTTTTTCTGAAGTCTGCTTGCTCATCATTTCTTACAGCATAATAGCATTTCATTACATTCCTATACCAAAACTGATTCAGCCATTTCCCAATTGATGGGCATCCCCTCAATTTCCAATTCTTTGCTGCTACAAAAAGAACTGCTATAAATATTTTTGTACATCTGGGTCCTCCCGTTTTTATGATCTCTTTGGAGCACAGACCTAGAAGTGGTATTGCTGGGTCAAAGGGTATGCACAGTTTTATAGACCTTTGGGCATAGTTCCAAATTGCTCTCCAGAATGGTTGGATCAGTTCATAACTCCACCAGCAATGCATCAGTGTTCCAATTTTCCCACATCTTCTCCAAGATTTACCATTTTCCTGTTTTGTCATGTTAGCCAATCTGATATGTGTGATATGGTACCTCAAGAGTTGTTTTGATTTGCAATTCTCTAATCAATAGTGATTTAGAGCATTTTTTCATATGACTATAGATGGCTTGAATTTCTTCATCTGAGAACTGTCTGTTCATATCCTTTGACCATTATCAATTGGGGAATGACTTGTATTCTTATAAATTTTACTTAGTTCTCTATATATTTTTGAAATGAGGCCTTTATCAGAGACATTGGCTGTAAAAATTGTTTCCCAGCTTTCTGCTTCCCTTCTAATCCTGGTTGCATTGGCTTTGTTTGTGCAAAAACTTTTCAATTTGATGTAATCAAAATTATCCATTTTACATTTCATAATGTCCTCTATCTCTTGTTTGCTTGAATTTTACCCTTCTCTATGGATCTGACAGGTAAGCTATTTCTTGTTCTCCTGGTTTGCTGATAGTTTCAGCCTTTATATCTAAATCATGTACCCATTTTGACTTTATCGCGGTATTTAATACTTGCTTGTTATTTCTTGTTACCCCCTGCCAAAGCAGAAACCTTCCTTATGGTTCTTGGAGTAAACAATGATTTAGTGTTCAACTGAAACCCCTCTTTCCCAGAAACATCCTTGCTAGAGTCTCTGGGCATCTACTTCCTCAGTGACTTTCTGAGTATTGTAGGATCTGTTTGGGGAAGTGGTTTCATTTTCTAATAATCAGTTTTTCTTTTTGTAGGGAAAGCACAAGCTGCATGTAGACACTGGATTTGAAGGTGATTGGTGTGGCCTTATTCCTGTTGGACATCCTTGTAAGCAAGTCACCACAACAGGGTTAAAATGGAATCTCAGTAAGTCTAATTTCTTTTTGATTCTTGCTAAAAGTAATTTTGAAATTTTAAAAAATCGTTTGATTTTTCCCAGCATCATTATATACTTGCATAATTCTTCTACATGGGTTCTCTCGCTCTCCTCCTGCCTCCCCCCCCTCCCCTTCTCTCTGTCTCTCACTTACTGGTGTTTTCACAGCTACGACAACACCAAAACTTGGCAGTTTTGCAGACCAGGTCTGTGTGCTATTTGAATGCAATATGTTCATGTACATGGTGTGATTTTAAAGAAGGGAGGCCTTGTATCAAATTATCCTATATCTCCACCAGTTCATTCTTGAAATATCTCTATTATGCATTCATTTCTTTGGGTTAAGTATTGAGCTTTGAAGATTATTTTTAATGCATATTTATTTGTGCAGGGTAATATCTTTTATCAGTAATACTTTAAATGGGAATTAAAGTGCTCCCAGTATTGTTTGTGAGAAGAAACTTTTGGAAGCAAGAGTACACTGAATAATTAAGTAGAGAACAGAGCTCAGAAAAGGAAGGCAAAGGACTCAGGGAAGGATGGAGACATATCTGGAAGTAGAAGGTTCTGAAGACAAAACTTATTCATTGAAAATGATATAATATTATCTATAGAAAAGACTCTGAAGCAGGTCAGTAAGCTACAGCATAATTTCTGTCTTGGATATCCATTATTCTTATATAAAGGAACAATCAAAGCCTATGAAGTTTTGCCAGCTATTGAAAAATTTTTCACTGTATTTTATTTTAACTAGGTCTTAACTGTATTCTTAAACTCTGACTTGAAAAATGAAAAGGCTTAATGTAATTAAATAAATGCTGATTCCAATTAAATTCTTTAAGCATTGTAGATTTTCACAAGGAAGAGCAACACCACCACACATTTGTAGCAAATCGATTTGATTGATTGTAAGAGAATTCCCTGTTTTAGGAGACTGACCACCGTTTCTGGGATTCTGAAGTAATATTCTAAAATAATTAATTTCATCATGAAATATAAAAGCTTCGAAAATTTGGGGGAAAATAAAATTTTATTAAAAATGATAACACTTTGAGTATAAGAATTTTTTTTTTTTAATTCTCAGAAATAGTTCCGAAAATTAGCAGGCACTGCTGGTATTTTAAGACATACTTTTAGAAAGCTTATCAGAATTTGAAAGACCTGCCAGGCTTGGTTCTCCTTTGCTCACATAAGTATGTGATAGGCTTTTAAGTTTTTTAGCTGAGACTGATGGAGGCTCTTGTTGGAGGCTTTTTGGAAAACCTTGCAGCTTAAAACAACTGCTTCCCTTTTCTGAATGCCTTTATATTTCAAGGCCCTGGATTTGACACGACCCTCAGTTTCAAGAGCATAAAAGAGAATAAGAAGGATCTCTTGTCCCCTTTTCCCACTCTGCCTCCCACCACAGCTCCCAAAATGCCAAAGTGGAATAAAGAAAAGGATTTTGGAGGCATGCCTTTTGTCATATGCTCCTATCTTCTCAGTTTCCTCTGATGTCCCATTCCCCAAAACTAGCCTTGCCTCTTCCTTAGAGCAATTAGTCACATAGTTCTCTGAACTCATAGTTCTTTGGGAAGAGCTTGTTGTACCCTGAAAAAAGAAAGAATATTGTCAGTGTTTGGCACGTTAGAGCCCATTTACCTTTGTAATCCAGGGGACTGTTCTGAATTGAAAAGCATCTTTAATATCTCTCATCTTATTTTACCCAGGTTATAACCTAGTGGAGAAAAAAGATTATTTAGAACCTTGTCAAAGTGAGGTAGGATGGACCATGAGATTAAGTGACTTACTTGCCTAAGATCACAAAGCTAGTTGAAGGCAGAGCTAGCACTAGATTTAAGGTTTCATTTTCTGTTTTAAGTTGTAGCCTGACAACAGTGAAAACACTTTGGAGTCAGAAAACTCAGGTTCTGGTTTCCTCTCTCTCTCATTCATTACTTCATTGATCTTGTGAAAGAATGTATATTTCTCAAGCACTAAGCATCTTCATTTATAGAATGATGGGTTGTCCAGACAACTTAGCTCTGTCTAAGATCTTTCTCAGTCCTGTCTAATAGTATCTGATTTTATGAGCAAGAAACTGTAGGTACTGAGCGTAACAAAGTGTAGGGGATAGCTTGTGGGTGTGGTGAACCTTTGGCTTTGTGTGTTAATAGACAGAACCACAGGAAAGCAGATTACCTCAGTTAATTCTCATAGTTACATGAGTGGCTGAAGGGGTAGGGAGTAGTCTTCTCAGCAAGCATTTCCTTAGCCTCATCATTAACCAAGATCTATGCTAAGTGCAAGGTGTGCAAAAAAAGTCAAAAGTAGTCCCTCTCCCCTAGAAGCTTACATTCTACTGGGGGAGACAATATGTAATTAGGTACGTACAAGATACTTGCAGAATGTAGATGGAAAGCAATCTGAGTGGGGAAGGCAGACACGGGTGGGGAACCTGCAGCTTCAAGGCCACATGTGGCTTTCTAGGTCCTTGGGCAGCCTTTTGACTGAGTTCACATTTTGCAGAACAAATCTTTTTGTTAAGGGGATTTGTTCTGTAAAGTTTGGATTCAATCAAAGAGCCACACTTGAGCACCTAGAGGGCCACATGTGGCCTAGAGGCTGCAGGTTCCCTACTCATGCATGATTGTAATGGAGCAGGGGGAGGAGGTGTAAAGACCAGACTAGAAAGGGCCTTCTGCAGAAGGTGGGACTTGAGCTGAGTCCTGAAGGAAGCCACGGATATAAAGAGATGACCACAATCCTGTTGGAGGAACTGCAAATCACCTTGGTGGCAGAGTGAGGGATAGATTCACTCTGCTTGTTTGGAGGAGGGAGGCCAGTTAGAAGGCTGTTGTAGTCATCCAAGAGAGAATTGTAGATGGACTGAAGCAAGGGTTGGCTGTGTGAATGGAGAGAAAGGGATGTATCCCAGAGATCTGGGCAGGTAGACATTATAAGGTTTAATAATAGAGAAGGCTGTGAAGAACCTGTCTCTAGCATCACCTTAGAGTTCAAAGGCCTAATATAGTATCTCTGGGCAACTTCCAAAGCTCAGCCAAGCTCCATCTTCTGAGTCTTTAGAATTTACTTCTGCCCTATGGCCCATTCCTTCACAGCCCCACTTTTTGAGAGGTGTTGGCAATTCAAGAAGACGAGATCATTCATGTTAATGAGTACAAAGGAGTTCTTGCCCTTTTCTATGAAAAATATTTACATTTTAAAAGAGGTCTTCTGGAAATGATGCCTTAACCAGATACTATCTCTCATTAGAATTTTAAGTTCCCATTCTGGTTTGGGGCTCAGCTGGTAGAGGGACTGGATGGCATATAGTTAGTCAGGTTCAAAATTGTGAATGCAGTAAAATTTAATCACAAACATGCAGGACTATCATTCCAAGAAGGCTACAAAGAAAATATTAGCCTTGTAGAAAGATGGGAAGGTACATTAGGAGGTTTAGAACATCATTACAGGCAAAATAAGATATTCAGACTCTCCTGTTCACTTTCCCTACCTACACTCAGCAAATACTTCTTAAATGGGTGATTTCAAGTCAGAGGCCACACTAGGAAAATGGAAGGCCACATACAAAGCAGAAACAAAACTCACTGGGATGAAATCTTGGGTCCATTCATCTGTCCTCTTATATTATGGCAAACTACATGAACATGATTGTTTAAAAAAGGCCTCAAGCACTTCCATTTGTAAACATATTCCTCCCTTATTTGGGAGAAGGCAAGGAGGCGGTGTCTTTGAATTTGGGTCTACTGTTAATCCCACCCGTGTGAATACCCATGAAGATCTACAAAGAAAGTGATTACCCACATATGGAAGCTGCTGGCATTCCTTTATTTACAGATGAAATCTCCTACTTGCACTAGGACATTCCTAACACTTTTTTTATTCTCTTTTAAAATCCATACCAGGTGAGGCCTAGGATTAGAATGTGGACTTTAAATATTTTAAGTCTTTGTTCTTAAAGACCTTGGACTTGGATTTTCTGAAAAATGATTTTTCTTAGTAATCAGTATCTTGGAGACTCAAAGCTTCAACATTAACATATCCCCCACAATCTCCTCTCCCTCCCCTCTTCTCCCAAAGTTCAGTCTCTCCTTAAGAAGTGATAGGGTTGGGATCTGGACCTCAGAAAGGAAAAACCTTGGACTTTTCCACATGGCCAAATGTCTGGCATTTGCCTGAGGCTATAATCTCATGAACTGGACTTTCATTTTGTTGCCCAATCTCCCAATTCTCTGTTACCTTTAACCTAGTTTAGCCCTCCATTGTCTTACTTCCTTATGGCCCCTGGCCATTTCCCACCTTTAATCCTAGCTGGGCTCCATTCTTCCTTGGCCACATGGTCTAGGTCCCAGGTTTACCCCAGCTTACTGGCCACTGTCATCCAGATCCTCCTTAGACCCCTCCTCCAATCACCTCAAACTACCTGGCCACTCCTAGATCCCTCCCACAGTCTTTCTGTATGTAAGATCCATCTTGTCTCCATTAAGGGGCTCAGATTCTTACAATCTAGCCAATAGTTCACTAATGTTCAAACTCCTTAAGATTCTGACCAATATGATAGATGTTCTAATAAACCTTGTTTTTAGCTGAAAGAAGGCTTGGGTTGAATTCTTTCGGGCAGGACTACTGTGTTGTGATTTTGGGGTCTCAGTACCCCTAAACCTCAACAGAAGGACATTACTGACAATGAGATTGCATTGAGTCGCCTTATCTGAGTCAGACCCCAACCCAAGCCTGAATTGATTTTATATTAATTTATATAATGGAAGCCCATTGTGTTCTGCTCAGACTTGGGTCAAGACAGATTCTTTTTGCCTAGATCACCCAAGGTTGAGAGTGGTTTCCTGTGGTTGGAGGGTGATCTGATAGAAGAGGTATTTCCTCTGTCAGGAGGTGGAGTAATATCAGCCCTTGTTGAAAGGGTGTACAAACTGGGCACTCCAACTCCCAAATCGAACCAGTTCTGGACTGTTACTCCCATGTGTTT